ATCTCCCTCTGATGAGCTTCCACCCATTGCTTCTTGTTCTACCATCAGGTGCTATGGAGAATAAATCAGCACCTCTTCCCTGTGTAGCCCTTCAAGTATTGGAAGACTGCTATCATGTCTCTCCTCAGTCTTCTCTTTGTTAAGCTAAACATATCTAGTTCCTTTAGCCATTCTTCAGAGGATTTAGCCTCCAGGCCCCTTATCATCTTTGTGGCTCTTTTCTGCATTAGGTGGAATTATTTAGTTGCTGGTTCATGGCTGAATGGAAATGTAAAGTCTGCCCTAATCTGACACTACATCATATTGGCTGTCATATGGATAAAACAATCTTGAAAGTATAACTAATAAGTCGATGATGCTCTTTTCTCTGAATCTCCCCAACTGGCCTTGGTAAGTTAAACAAAAACAAGTTAAGTTCTTTATGGAATTTTCATAATGTCCAGCTATTCTATATTGTCAGCACCTATATTTATATTCTTGATTTTTGTTTGCTTCTTACTGTTTTTTTAATGATTATAAATTATAATGATTAAGCCACAATCTAGCCGTTATTAAACACAATGAGACCCGTTTTTTCTTTCTTTTGTTAAAATTCATGTCATTTAAAGTTTTCAAATTGGCAGATTTATTGTAAATGGTCCTTAATTATGTTAGAGTAATAATTTTACAATGTTCTTATTACAATAACTGTGCATGATTTATAAATTAATAGTCTACTTCACTGAAAGTTAAGGTATAAAATTTCACGCATATATGGGTGGAATCCAGACAAATACATATTTAGAGCTGATCTACTTAAATCAGTGGAATGAAAGTTAGTTCTACTCAAATTAACCATAATGGAATTGATTTCATATGTTTATTGAAAAGATGACCAAGTTTAGATCCAATACAGAGAGAGATAGAATAGAGATATAATGCTGACTTTGTATATTCCGTTTTTTTAAATTGGGTATTAGAATGGAACACATGAAATACAACCCATTTAAAGGTAAGAGACTCCCTTGAATTGGGATGATCAATGGATGATTTATGGTGTTGTGCCACCCTCTGGAGTCTGTCTGCAATTTCAGCAGCTAACAGCTTGAATTATTTTTGCACACAGTTCTGTGCTTTGACAGATGCTGTGATGTGTTTTTCATGTTTTCTTGATGATTCTTATGACAAGATTTCTTGAATTGCGTTGTTACACACTGTACACTGGAAGGGATTAAACAAACTTAAATAGCACATGTTCAAACCATTATTTCTAACTGAAATGAAAACCTAAATTCTTCTGTATGTTCCATATGTTTTCATTCATCACTTGGCTGAAATGTTGGCTATGACTAATGTGGCACTGATGATCTAAAAGGAACAGTCAATGCAAACTCCCTGTCAGATTTTTTTTTTAAAGAAAGAATTTAGCTTTGTGCTGATATTATGTACATAGTTATGTGTACGTACTTAGGAGATGAATTATTCTGTACATATTATAAGAAAATTCTGAATCTGATATAGCTGCATGTTCAGCTAACCAATAGCTTTCTTAGTAGAAGGACACTTTAAGGAGGCCTCAAGAATGGCAAGTACAGTTTATATCCTCTTAGTACTACAATTTATTTCAAATACTAATGGGGGTGGAGAATCTAATGGAAAATGTACAGTCGAATCTAATGAAGAATGGGGATTCTAGACTTTCTGAGTAACACTGAACTGGTGGTTTAGAATAGGGGAGATCTGAGTCTCAATATTTCAAGATACCAGAGGGTGGCAATTCTGTTAGTACAGTGCTCTCAGCACCTGCATTTTCCAAAATAGAAGGATTGTATTACAGAATTTTGTTCAAGATCTCCACCTAGTCCAACAACAGCCAGTCAATGCCTATAGAATCTCAAGGCAGAACATGATATAATAGTCAGCACCTGTTATTAGTCTGAAGATCCAGCACTGGAGATATGCCAAGCTCATTCAATCACTGAGGCTCCATTTGTCTTGTCAGCATCCTCTGATTACCACCTCTTCTATTGAGTCATCTTATCCATTTCCAGTAAATATCACCTTCCTCAAATATTTTGATAATGAAGTTTATGAATTAATTATATATGGCATCACAAGTATGCATCAAATTTAGTTCACATCAACATTTTCCAAGTATTTGAAGACAGTTTACAGAATGGCTGTTGGTGTTAACTGTAAATACAGTATATTTTAAACCAGCACAATGACAAACATCTTAGCTAAGAGGCAAAAGACAGGAAGCAAAAAGTAAATTAAAAAATTAACAGAGCTCCTAGCGATGACACTAACATCTTAGGAGGTGATGTTCAAGTCTAGAATCCCCATTCTTCATTAAATTCTACTGATTCCACTTCTGCTGAAAAAGCTATTGGCTGGCTGAACATACTGCTATATTGTTATTTTCTTCTAGTAAGTGAATGATCACACTAAGAATGCTAACTTTCTGCCAGTATTAAACTAAGATTCCTCTGGCAGTCATGAAATAGAGGAACAGGGCGATCTTGCCCTTTGCCTTGATTTCCAAATATCTTAGATTAACCATGGCAATTGGTGTCACTTCAGCATGCTGGGATAGGCTTCAAAACCTTGAATGGTAAAATACTTGGATTTGTGCCTAAATTGAATGCCACTGTTCAGACATCATCCTTCCCCCCCATCCACCTTGGAAAACTCTTTATCTTGATTTTAGAGGCAGATTCTGGGTTTTGAACCTGGCTCAGGTTAGGCCCTGACAATAATTTTATGTGTGTTTCACTTTGGTTTTCAAATTACAGATTTTGTCTGATGATTTCCACACCATGTACAGTATTTTATCTTACAAAAGAAGTAAAAGCAGAAGAAGATGATGATTCATACATCTGGAATTTTTATTTAATAAAGCATCTGCGTCCCAAAGAATATATATGATTCTTCCATAAAAATAATAAATAAAATGCCATATTTGCTTTTTGAATACTAGAGCTTGGTTGCATGTTTGTGCATATGTGGGTTTGTTTATGTGGCAGTTAAATAGAAAGGTAGATGATAAATATACAAACGTACACACTTGAACCACAGAAAACAGGTTTAACTGATAAGAACATGCAGAGTGCCTCTTTGGATGACTGATATTGCAGGATGATAACAGATTGAATTTTAATTGTAGACTGGAGAGGTGGGTAGTCTGTAACACAGCACCATTGTCTGAAAAGGGCACACGCTTTGTTGCAATACCTTTACATCTATGTAATATGAGAGATTTTGCATCAGAGACTAATGTTTCTGGTGATTAAATATTTACCAACAACCTATTGACCATATGTCACAGAGTTGCATGGTGACAGACTTGGTCTTCATCGACATTTCATGATAGTCCTATTAAATCCACTGTGTGTTCTCTAAGTGCACAAAATCATTTCAGAGAATCCTTCTCCCTCCCCTTTTTAGATCATCTGTTTGAAACTGGTGACAACATTGTATTTATGATCTACCCAAATGTTTGGCAGGAACAAAATTATCAAATTTTCCATATTTAATTTTTTTCTCCTTTATAGACATCACCCAAACAATTCCAGCAGCATTCCATCTCTAAGTACTATTTATTTGGCAGCATTTATGTTAGTTTATGATTTATTTCAATGCAGTGCTATTTTCCACAGAGAAAGGACAATCCTATGCTATTACAAGACTAAACATGTGTCTACACGGCAGTTTTTTGGGGTCTCAGTCTAGCACTTTCTATGAAAACAAAAATGCATGAATATTTTTGGAAAGTCAAAAATATTTACCCTATCCAGTATTTGCCCATTTTTCAGTGGACAGAGAAGCAGCAAGATCACACCCACCTCTGCTGCAATACAAGTGGGCCCTTCCAAAGATTCTGTAAAACTTACATCTCTGCCTTTATGAAGCAGTTCCTGCCCCAATGTTGCCATATTTCTCAATCAAGTAGCCATTTCTAGTTAAAGGGAAAATGAGAATGGGAATTATTAATGAAATTGCTTAGGAATCTCTATCACTAACTTTTCTTATATGCATATGGGCTAAGAGTGCACACACACCTGACTAGGAATATCTAACAGTTGTATGTACCTTGCACATTCCTGCACACTGATTCTGACTGCAAGACAATTGCTCAATGGGTATCTAAGGCGATGCATTTAAATGTAAGGCTTCTTTTTAAGCATGCCAACTTCTGCGTTTTTAGGGGTAACAAATTTGGGTAGCCAAATCCAGAAGGTTGCTAGGTGGATGGCTACAAAGTGTTCTAGGCTCCTTGTCTTATGCTAAACTTCCCTAATAAATTTACTTTATATTTTCAGCCACTATTTTGTTGCTGGTACCTCACCATGCCCATAAAGATGAGAGAGGTTTCTTATACATAGAGTAATTTCTAGGTAGTAATGATTTTTGAATTATGTCTTGGAGCTGGTCAATATTAATTATATTTCCCTTCCTTCCTTCCTTCCTTCCTTCCTTCCTTCCTTCCTTCCTTCCTTCCTTCCTTCCTTCCTTCCTTCCTTCCTTCCTTCCTTCCTTCGTGAGTCCCATAGAAATGGGTGGCATGGAAGCTGAAAAACTAACCAGAGTTAGTATAAAATTCTCAGTACAAATATTATTAAAATAATTCAAATCAAGAAGTTTATGGGGTAAAGTCCCATAAAAGCAAATCTGCAAAAATTTGACTTGTAAAAGAGCATCATTAAAAAAAAGCAAACCCACAACCCATTACTGGCTTAGCTTGGCTTGCTTACTTACTAATTCAGTCTGTGGTTTCTCTTTTTGTTTTTAAATCCATACATCATTGTTTGAAGGAACAGTTGATCTTGTTAACAACTGCTCTTCACTAGCAGCTCACGTATTTAAGTCTGACCATCACGGAATAGAGTGGAACAAGGAATTATTTTGCTATTAACATTATACTTCTATTGATGCATGCTATGATAGCACTTGTCTTTTTAGCAGCTGCATCACATTGTTGGCTCATTTTCAGCTTATGATCCACTAAAGATACCCAGATATTTCTATATGTACTGTTGCCTAGTATGGTTTCCTCCAACCTTTACTCATGCCTTTGTATTTTCCTACCAAATGTAGGATTTTGCATTTCTCCCTAGTGAAATCCATCTTGCTGGTTTCTGCCCATTGTTCTTGCTTATTAAGATCCTCCTGCATCTTGATAGTGTCTTCTAAGATGCTTGCTATTCCCTCTAACATTGTGTCTTCTGCAAATTTTGATCATACTTTCTAACCTTTCACGCAATTCATTTTTAAACATGTTAAACAGCACAGAGCCTAGAATGGAACCTTGCAGTACATCACTCAACACATCCTTCCAGCTTGATGTGGAGCCACTGACCTACATGTAGTGGGTACAACTGTTCTACCACCTCTGTATCCATTTAATCCAGACCATTAGTTTGCCACTCCTTCCTTTTGTCAATGTTTTTGTTTAGTTCCATTTGAACACCTCCCTTTTGGAAAGAACACCAAAACAAAGTAGGAATTGAGGAATTCTATACTTCCTCCATCACCAGTTACAACCCAACCATCTTCTCCCAGCAGCAGGCCACTCTTTCCTTTTTCTTCCTTTCACTACTAACTTGAAACTCTGCATACTGAGTCATGCATATCATAACTTTGTAAAATTTATGTAATATCTTTGTATAAGACTGCTTTTGCAAGAGAAAGGCAACAGGGATAAAAATCTATATAGATACCCCAAGGCTCATTCTCCAGCCAGCATGAATTCTATTTCTTTTCCTCTGGCTTCTGCCTACATATCTTTTGCTTTTATGTTTGCAGCTATAAAGGCCAGACACTTGCTTTTTCTGAAAAAGTGAAAGTTGAAGATTTATGAGTCCAAAAATGTCTGTAGATATTAAATTGGGGTATTTGGGGCCTGGACCTGATCATACATGGAGTACATATATCTTGAGTAAATGCAACTAAGTTGGGTTTTTTGTTGTTGTTCAATTATATGCACTTAAACTTTCTTGCATATCAATATTACTGGGTTCATTGTCTGCGTTTAAACTAAGCTGAAATTCTTGGATTTAAATCAGAGGTTCTTAAACTTCATTGCAATTAGCATTGATACATTGCTTGGCATAACTCCCTCTTATTTGTGACTGGTAGAGCCGAGAAAAATAGAAATGAACCAGATGGATATAGAAAAGCACCAAGTTATGCACAATTATGCATCCTCAGTTTAGTATTCCAAACAACCAATTATGATATTTTGCTTTCTGGCCGACCAATTAGAAGAACCATATTAGAGAAAATGTCCATTCTTATTTCTGCTTGTCACTTTGCCTTATGAAAGTAAAATCCTGTACACAGTTTCTTGGTGTGAATCCAACTGAAAATAGTGGATTTTTCCCTGAATACTGAGATAGCTTGATGTCCTTTTTGGAAGAGAAACCTCTATCTGAAGGGCTGTTGGGCCACAGAATCATAGGGTTGGAATTAGGACACTGAACACCACCTTCTGCACTGCTGGTTTACAAGAAAAGAGCCACACAAAGCAGCTACCATTTAGACAAAAGACCAAACAAGAATGGCTAATCATCATCTCCCTATTCATAACAAAGTGTTTTGTTGTTGCTGTTAACTGTGCTATCTTTAGTGTTGTATTAGCCATTTAAAACACAGGAGTAAAACTTAGTGGTGTGGAGAATAGGTTGCTTTTAACATGAATTCGGAGCCAATGACTGAATATGAAGAAAATATTTCCCACAAGTCCATGAATCTTACTTCTAAGTCAAGGCACTTAGGATCAAAGAATAAAGTATATTGGACAGTGCACCCTGGGGACAATTATGTATTATGAAAAACAGATTAATCTATCTTTGCAAAGCAGCCCCACTATGTTAAGAATGGCTCCATGTTTCTCTTTGCCCAGTGTCTTGTCTTTTAAAGAAACATTTTTTCCATCTATATTTCTGAGATGGGGAAAGAAACATATGTGAGAAAGTCAACATATCATCTTACATGCATTCTAAAAAAAACCTTATTATCATAAAAACTACACTACAAAAAGTCATCGATTTGAACACTTCCTTACACAGAGT